ACGTTAAAGTAACTTTAAAAAGAGGTGAACTGAAGAAAACCTAGGGAGTACTGAAGAATCGTGAGCAACAGTGACGCAAGCACAGAGAGATCTGCTACTGTCTGTGTGTGTGCGTGGATGGACCGGACGCGGACAGAGCTCCCGGCTGCAGATTTTGTGTGTAGGGAGGGGCGGACGCTCTATGTGACTGGCCAATCACAGAGTGTGAAGACAGTCAGTTACCCAATGAGGATTTTCCTCCAGCATGATATTTTTACGAGTTTGACTTGTTTCATGCTCGTACTCATCAAAATTGCTTTATCCGTATTGGATACTCGTCTGAAACGAGTATCCGGCTCATCCCTATTTGCTCGTTTGAGGACTTTCTTTGATTACTTCTGAGGTGAATATGTGGGAAAACTATTTTGAATGAATGTGTTTTTGGTTTCTTTAGTTTTCCCACAAAATGTATTGATCATTTCACATTATGTGAAACAAAAACATGAATTTCCAATATCCAAAAAGGAAACTCAACAAACCCGAACTACAGGTTTAACTCCTTTCTTTTGTGAGAAATAATCTTCTCTTGGTAATACTCCCACACAAACCATACTTCCTGAGTATTTTTTTTAACTATACTCATTTAAACTTTGACTTATTATGTGTTCACTAAACCATGAATAAACTTGAATATAGCTTTTCTTGCATCTGTGAGACACAGATAATAGTTCTTTTCTTCTGTATTTTTCATTCTTTTGTCTTTCTTCAAGCTTCAGATATTGTAGTGTTCAGATAAATGGTAAATGGACTGTATTTGTGTAGTGCCTTTTTTAGTTCTACAACACACACATTCACACACAACATTGTGGATTCTATAAAAAGTCTAAATGATTTAAATTTGAAAAAAGATTATTTCAAAATAATCAACTAACAACACTAACAAGTAATCTTTGGTACCTTACTGTTTTGAAATTTCTGCATGAACCAAGTGAAGCAATTACTAAAGGTTGACCAACTTTTCTGCTTTTTTTTAAACTCTAATTTATCTAATTGACTGAGAAATTAAAAAGGTGCTAAATACCATTCAGTTGGCATTGGTTCAATAGCTCAAGTCTGAAATTTCTGAGCATTACGTGCCATCAACTCCAAACATGTTGTTTCAGAGGGTGTGCACTGCTGTTCTACTTACCAAGTTAACAGTCTGTTTATCCTGAAAGGAGCATGTGCTAAAGCATAAAACAGACCCATCCAATTTTATTTTTTCAATCCAGTTTTATTTCTATAACATTTTCGACACAACACTGTCGACCAAAGTGCTGTACAGTTTACAAGCACAAGAAAAAAATAAAATAAACAAATAAATAAGCACAGATAAAACAATAAAAACACACCAATAATAAAACACATCACAGCTCAAATAAATCTGTATAAAAAAAAACAACATGGGTATATAAAATTCAAACAAGAGTGGATGTACAACAATCATATCGTCTTAAACACCAGTGAGTAGAAGTGCGTCTGGAGAAGAGTTTTAAAAACCACAAGCAAGGAGGCTTTCCTGATATTGACAGGCAGCTGATTCCGTAGACTAGGAGTAGCCACAGCAAAAGACCCATCACCTCTCCGCCTCAGCCTTGCCCTCAGAACAACCACCTGCAGCTGCCAGCCCATATAAAGATGTATATGTCAGCATGAGAATCTTAAATAAAATTCTAAAAACAACTGGGATGCAGTGAAGAGAAGCTAGCACCAGGCTGATGTGATCACACCTACAGATGCCTGTTAGCAAATGTGCAGCTGCATTCTGCACCAACTGCAGTCTTGAGAGACATTCTTGACTCACCCCAATATAAAGACCATTATAAAAGTCCATTCTTAAGGGAACAAAAGCATGAATTAGTGTTTCCATCTCTTTGTTTACCAAGACAGACTTAACCTTAACCAATTTCCTTAACTGGAAAAAGTTGGATTTTACCACACAGTTTATCTGCCTTTCAAATTTCAGCTCTGAATCTACATTGACCACCAAGTTTGAAATGACATCTTAAGGCGACAGTGCATCTAAGAGAGAAGGAGAAACAGCCAATGACCCACTAGTTTTAAAAAAAGATAATTTCACTCTTTTTCTCATTTATGGTTTGAAAATTAGAGGCCATCCTCTCTTTTACCTCCTAAATACCCTGTAAGATACCCCTTTGACTGGAGTAATAATTTGATAGTTTTCCATGTAGCAATGAAAAGCCAGGCCATATTTCCTAAAAATAGCAATCAGAGGAAGCATATATAAAGAGAACACTAGAGGACCAAACACTGAGCCCTGAGGAACACCACATTTAAGGGGAGTCTCCTAGAAACAAGTCGCCAACACTGACAGACACTGACCTTGGACAAATGTGATTTGAACCAGCTCAGGGAAATGCCTCTAAATTCAACAAAATCTTCCAAACCTGACAACAAAATGGAGTGGTCCTAGGGATGGGTACCTTTGAAATTTGAATCGATTTGGTACTAATACCCGGTACCTAGGAATCGATACCGGTACTTAACGGTACTAATTTTAGATACTTCTGAGTGTTTAATATTTTAATTCTCTTTTATAATAAAATATATATTTTTCTCAATATATAACCATATTTGATAAATATCACGATAAATAACATACAACTGTTTGTATTTTAACATCGTCCTAGTAGTTTTATAAGCTGATAATTAAACTGAAGCAAACATCTTTACTGTGAACTAAATTTACTGTGTATCTTCATTCCTTTTGCCATCCTTTTTCATTTGATTTTTCCTACTGGGAAGTTAGAATTTCTGAGGAGAAAGCGAACGCACCATTAGCTGATAACAATGGTGGCAATGGAAGCTAATTTATCAAGCTAACGTTATCTTAAACAGTTTATTTAGCTGCTGGAGCAGATTAAAACGACGATGCCTCACACTTAGATCATTGTCGCTGGTTTCATCTTCACCCAATCACTCGTCGCATTTAGTAAAGTGAAGCCAAACTTTAGAGCGCGTTCATGTTCTTCTAGTCGGGAATTCGGAGTTCCGAGGAGAAAGTGAACGCACCATTAGCGAAACGGAAGCTAACATGTAAAGCTAATTATATTTACCTACCGGAGCAGATTAAGATGAGGATGTCTCACTTAGATCGTTGTCGCTGGTTTCATCATCTCCCAGTTACCCATCACATTCAGTGAAGTGGCCCCTAGCTTTAGCGTGCATTCTTTCTACCATGCTGCTCTGTTTACAACTGGCTCGCAGCGACCAACGACATCACGCTCTTGCTCATGCGCAGCTGTCTAGGCAAGTTCTTGTTATGAAGGACGGGTACCGAAATGAGGCACCGTTTCAAATGACGTGAAGCGGTGCTCAGTCGGTACTATGGAATTCGGTCTGTACCTTTAAAAGTACTGAATTCGGTACCCATCGCTAGTGGTCACTCGTATCAAAAGCTGCGGTCAGGTCCACCAGCGGTGACAATACGTTTTCACCAGAATCTGTAGCCAGAAGATGTCATTAAAAATCATAACCAGTGCAGTCTCAATGCTGTGGCAGGACTCAAAACATGATTAAAAAAAACTCAAAAATCTGGTTCTTTTCCAAGTCCTTGGAGAGGACAGGAAGCATAGAAATTGGCCTTAAATTTGATAAAACTGTTGTGTCCATGACAGTTTTTTTACAAGGGGTTTAATGATAGCATGTTTAAAACAATTTGGAACTTCACCAGAAGACAGGCTGGAGTTACCTATATTCCATACCTCATTGGCAATAGCGGGCCATGCTGCCTTCACAAGACAGGAAGGTATGGCATCCAGAGCAAAGCCTGCTGAAAGAATTATGAAACTATACCATTTGAGATGTACGTCCCCCTCATTTTATGAGCTTTCATTTTAAACTGAGGAGGATATTTGATTCTTTGTGGCACTGTGAAGGGAATCTGATTCGTTTTGAGTTGAAGTGTGTTGAGATTTCTGCCATTTGAATACTGTGTATATGATCATATTTGGTCATCCTTGTGCACACAAACAGAGAAACAATTTGAATACTAAAAGCCAGAAAGCAAGCATCTGAATAAATACAAGTATGTTTGTATGCACAGCTTGTCTCCAGGTTTATATTTCTCCAGCTACATCAGTGCTATTAGCTATGGTCTATTTTTAATTAGGAGAACAGAGATAACACTGAGGGAAAAGGTTCAGAAAGACGTGAGCCTGGAAGGAGGTCAACGTGGTGACAAAGAGGACCTTTCAGCAAAACAACAAAGACCTGAATTAGTGATACATTTGATTCATTTTAAAAGCTGTTTAAACATAGCCTAGTGAACTAGACCAAATTCTTGCTTTGCAAAGTTTGGTCTAGGCATGCTCCATTGGAACCTCAGCAGCTCCTACCAGGACTCTGGCTAGCCAATCACAGCTCTCTAGAGGGGCTTCAAACACATAAAGAGCTGTGATTGGTCCATAATGGTGGGCCAATCATAGTGCTCTATCTGCTTAGTGAACAAATCACAGAGCTTTATCCGCTTTGTGGGCCAATCAGGGCACTCTATATGCCTGGTGGGTGGGATGATGCAGCAGAGTGAAACAAGAGTATGTCACATTCATTGTCCAGTGGAATGCGGAGATCATTTGAAAGACAACGGTAGAACCCGCCCCACAACCGAGAGCCGTCAATGGAGCGTGGCCAGACTAATTAATACATTTATTTAGTCTGGCTTGCCAGGCTAGTTTAAACACATTCTGGACCTCAAATAACTCCACATTCTATATTGCTCCATGATTGCACCATATTTGTACTACTGTGCAGAGGTTTGGGGCAATACTTACAAATGTTCATTATCATCAATCTCTATATTACAAAAAAGGGCCATTAGTATAATTCATAAAACTGGCTACAAAGATCATACCAATCCACTGTTCTTAAAATCTAAAATTTTAAAATTTCCAGATCTGGTGCATTTTCTCACAGCACAGATTATGTATAAAGCAATAAATAAACTACTTCCTGACAACATTCTAAAATTATTTTCTAAAAGGGAAGGGGGTCTGTAGCGTCATGAATGGCCTCTAATTTGTGAAAAAGGTCACATTTTCCCAGCTAGGTCAAGTTGGGTCGAACTGTAACTTTGCCCCACAAATTAACACGCCAGGAGCCGTGATGTCTGCTGCAACAAATCTTTATCTGGCTGCTGTTCCGTCCCAAGATGAAGGACACTTCAAGATTTCACAACAATAATTTTAATAAACTCATGACTTTATTGCTATTTATTATAATCATCATAATAATCATCTGGTTCAGTATAAATGTATTTTAATTACTGAAATGACTTATTATGCTTTGGGTTACTATAATAATCAAGTAATGTATGTTCAGTAAACCAGAAGGTCATCTTGCATGAGTGGGCGTGTTCTGAGGGTTTTGTTAAAACCAAATCCTGCAGCTGTAAGTTCAGTTCTTGAACCATACCAGGAGACGAGGGACGGCCGCCCAAGTCTCTACTAAGCATTCTGTCACGCCGATAGACTTCCTTCGAATAAACGCACCTGTAACCAGCAAAACTCCTTCAGTTATTGATTTTGAGAAGCAAATAGTTTCACCAGTCGAGTGACCCACAGAGACATCTCAGGATCGATTTGGTCGCACTAAGGTCCTTCTACCAACCTCGTGCCTGGAGGACATCATCTCCACCTGACATCTCGGATCCAGATGAGGGTCTCCTGATCTGGGTGAGGTAGACACTTTTGACAGATGGCGTCTGTATGCTGTTTATCTACGTAACATCAGTTAGCTGCAAAACCAATTTTTCACCCAGAACGCTTCTCTCGCTGAAAGAAACCTTCTGAGATTCATTCACGCATCCGAAAACTCTCATTTCATTTTAGCTTCCATTCAGTCACATGTTTGTTTTTTAAAACAAGTTTTAATATCAAATTGTCTGTAAAAATTGTCATTTCAAATTGTCATTTTTTAAAGTGTTAGTAATAAATTCTTAACTTTAAAAACCTGACTCTTCTTTGAAATGAAACACAGAATGGTTTATATATTTTTGGTTATTGAATAAGCAAAGATTCCTAACTTCTGATTAAATAAATAAACTTTTGCTATTAAATTTAATTATCTTAAATCAAAAATTAATCTTTGGATTGAAAATAGACCAAGCTTGTTGGCATATGAACTTCTATTGAATATATAATATCCTAGATATTTATATATGATAGAACGCTGACGTCGTTAGGTCCGTTTTAGGGGGGCTTCAGCCCCCCTAAAATAATCACAAGCCCCCCTATCATTTTGGTTTATTTTATTTTTTTCAGTTAACTTTTTTTTATTTGTTCACATCTACATGCTGAACACAATCACGACACGTGTAGTTGGTACATGAGTTTTTTAGTCTGAAACAGAAATAATAATTAATGAATATAGAACTACACCGTCGCACACAGGAAGTATCAAGAAAGAACTTCCTCCACTTCCTTAAGCCCGCAGCTTTGTTGACAAGTCAGGGGGCGGGTCGATACAGAAAAACCTATATATCGATGAGCAAACCCTGCTCAGCGCTCATGTAAGTCACTCAACATCACATTAGGGTAAGACAGCAACAGCAGCATACCGTTAACATTTCAAGGTTATAGTTCAGACGAGAGTGGAAAATGCTACCGCACCGACATGCTAATGCTAACTCCGCTAGCATGTTTACATGCCGCAAACCATAATGAAAAGCTTTGATGTCAAGTAAAATGGTCGGAAAACTCCCCTGAAGTGACATGATTAATGGGTCAGCCAGTTCAATGAGTGACAGTGCCACCAACTTGAGCGTACAGTAATGAGTCTGCACAAACAGAACCTGCTCTGCGCTTGTGTGCAGCAGCTGCAGCCCTCTCTATGGGATCAATTCTGCACATGCAAATCTCTCCCTGCTCTCCTCAACAAGTAGCCTCTCCACCAGTCAATCACAGACAGCTCTGTTTTATCCAATCAAAGCATGTCAAGGAAACACTGCTTTACAGAAAAACACCCATTTAACATCTTATTGAACTGCTTTCTGCTGCTGGTTAGCTACCAGTCACCATCCACTGCCTGCAAAATAATTTGTTGTAATTCATGTGTCATGATTAGGGTGACCATATTTGACTTCCAGAAAAGACACTTTGCCTATTCCTAAAACTGTTAAATTGCACTCTTTTTAGTTAAAAATGACTTTTAATTTCAACATATAAAGTGTTTCTTCTCTGTTTGGTTAGACATAAATGATCCCTTGATGTGTAAAAGGAAGTGAACAGTGGAAATGTCCCAGGAAAAGAGGAGGGTTAATCAACCTAATTAAATATAATTATATAAAGTCATCTTTATCTGAAAAAAGTGCAATTTTCCTGCCAGTATTTCCTGGACATGCTTTGATTGCATAATGGAGAGCTCTCTGATTGGCTGACGGAGAGGCTACATTGCTTTGTAAATTGCAAATTGAGCAACAGCAGGGAGATTTGTGCAGGCAGAGACGGAGTTGAGCATGCAGAGAGAGGGCTGCATACGACGTTGTGCTCTTGCAGATTTATCACTGCACACTCCAGTTGGTGGCACAAAAATCACTCCACACTAAAAACCTGAATCAGAATCTGGCCGAATGTATATTATTGACCGTTTTTCTATATTATATATTTTTTCTATAATATATATATATATTATATTATAGGTACATATATGTATCTATAATAATAAGCCAGTTTTATATATGTCACATATATTTAAAAGCTATATCAAAACATGTATTAAAACCTATATGTTTATATGAATTCTTTCCATGTGGGTTGTCAATTGCTTAATATTTCCCATGTTTACCTATGGTAAAGAAAGGAGATATTGTACTCGTCTAACTTTAACATAAATTTTGGCAGCTTAATGTGACGTTATGGAAAATGCCATCATCATGAGCAACCAAACATAGGCTATATTAGGCTAACAGTTGTCCATATTCTGTCCCATTTATCCACCAATGGCTGTTTCAATTATTGTGAGTGAAAACTAAATGGCATAGTAGCATTTGTCTTGGCATTAGAAATTGAAAATGTTTTTCAATGTGTTGGCTAGATGGATATACGAAGATTTTTTAAGAGAGTGAGTGAGGAACAGGAGAGAGACCAGGTGGTTGATGCTGAGGAGATCTGCATGGTCAAGGTCAGTGATCTACAGCGAAAACAGGGGCGAGTGCACCGTTATGAGCATTTACCTGAGCACAAAGTTCCCAAGCAAAATTGAACAGTTTTCTATTTAGGAGTGAACAGGTAAGAGACATTGAGAAAAAAATAACTATAATTATCATCTGGCCTGCAACCTTATGTCAAGTTGTATCTGTATAGTTGACTTTCTGTATTATAAGTTCTACTACTTGCTGGATATTTTTATATATACTGTTATTTTGTCTTGTAATAGTTAATTACATACTCCTTTATTCCATATCATAGCAGTGTTATTCATATATTAAAACTGTCAACTGCACACTCATTTGGCAGAAAAAAAGTTTTACAATTATTCATTTGTTCTTTATTGTCACATTTCAGTAACATTTATAATTGAACAAGTTGTAATTAAACAAATTAAATAAATGACTACAACATTTCCCCCTGTTAAGTGCAGTAGACTGAAATGAATAGCTTTATTTGGAAATATAACATATCTAATTTTTAATGGACTTACATAAAATCTTTCTTCAACATAGACCCCACTAATGAACTGATTAAGTGTTATTTTTTATGAAAAGAAGAGAGAAAATGCACAAAAGTAGGAAAGGAAAAGAAAGTGATAAAATAATAGGTTTTGTTAAATGTTCTTCAGATAATGAATTAATTGACAAAGTTTTTGCAGGGTGTGACAAAAAACGTTCGAGGTCAAGCTCCTGGGGCTAAGCCCCCCCTATATCTCAATCCTAGTGACGTCCATGTGATAGAAGCTTCATTTGTTAACTTGTTTGAGCTTTTCTGAGAATCTAACAAAGCTGATAGCAAACAGCGTTAATTCTAGTATGTAGTTAACCACGCTACAGGGGATACAATTTGAGGGGTGAACTTAACTTAAAATATCCTTGTATCCATACAAGATTAAAGTTTTTGCATTTCTGTGTGTGGAGTGAAGCTGTGGAACAATTTTAGAGCAGATATGAAGCATTGTCCGAGCATGAGGCAATTTAAAAAGCAGTTTAAGGATTTGGTTTTTGCAGAGTACAAGGAGGTTGAGAATTGATGATCTTGTACAATATTTTCGTTGACATAATTGTGCACGGGTATGTTGCGGTGGGTATCCCTATATTCTTAAAAATATACAGGTCATATATACTGAAACTATAAGGAGGATTGTCTGTAGGTTATTGATTGTTAGAGTGGAAAGGGGGTGGGATTAAATAAGCTTAACCCTTTAGGCGCCATAGTTTTTTCAGTAAAATATGACTTTTTTACATCACCATTTAAAGAGCTTGTAGCTTAAAACTGGTTAGAGATAGAGGAATATTGTATATTAGAAAAATCTTCAGTATGAGCCAAATTTTGTGATAGGAACAAATTCACTCACATAATTTGCATATTAAGGCATCATCAGGTGACAGCCATATTGGATTGCATCACATTTGCAGATTTTTGTTGTTTTTTTATGTTTTTGTCTTATTTTCTTAGTGTGTTATTGTTTATGATACATCTATACATATTCCTATGTAGACATATGTATAACTATGTATGTACATATATAATACTTATTACTTTATTGGTATTTTGTTATGTTTACTGCGTATCAATCAAGAACACTGTTTTTGGTGCTTCAGTGTCATGAACACATTTCACTCATCCCTTCTTTAGTTTATTTTGTTTATAATATATATATAATCCTCAATCGCAGGCTTTACCACAAGCACCATGCAGAACTGAATGGCAATGAACGCTTTCATTTCTGGGACAGCTACATCGTACCAGTCATTATAACTGGAGCTAGATTTCAGTTCCTCCATCTCTAAATACTGGTGAGCATATCGGTTAGTTTCGGTTGTGATGAGAGTCCAGAACTCCTCATCCAAAAAAACTTACAGAAAATCAATGTATTCTGAATTTGACAGATCCCTGTCTCCACAGTATCCAACTGGCTCATCAAAATGCCTGATCCACTTGGAATACTGTTCCTCTTTTCCCAAACTAACCCAGCCACTATCATTATTATTGTCACTGAGGCTGTATTGGGCCCCCCCCCCCCGCTAGCAGTGATTTTTTTTTTTACAGCGGTTCCTCCCCCTCCTGCTGCATTTCCCGCGGTTTACAGTACCAGGGCTGGATCGATCACCAGCGGAATTTTCACCAGCCCATCATCGCCACCACATCCACATCCACCCCCAGACCGGTGTGTATTTAAATGAACATTTAACGAAAAAGAATGCTGAAATTGCAAGACAAGCCCGCAGCCTGAAAAAACAACATAAGATACAAGCGACATGGACGAGGAACTACAAAGTAATGATAGGACTAAATAGCACTCCCGAAGAAGCAAAAGTTGTGATGATAAGTGAACTTAAAGACTTAGAGCAGTAGCGGTTTTAGGCACGGGCAGACAGGGCAGTTGCCCGGGGCGGCATTTTTTCATGACACAAAAGGGGCGCACAAGCGCTGAGTTAAAAAAAAAAAAGGAAATCTGCGCCGCACCGAGGTTTTCTATTATCTGTCATATGACAGTGTCTGGATAGGAAACAGCAAGTTGGCGCCCCCTGCAGCCGCAGGCGCTCCTGCTGACTGAGAACGTTCACGTGCACCGTGTGTCTATGAAGAACAGGAAGGGTAGGGGTGCGGCGGGGGAATTCACCTCTGCGTCGTTCCCAAATGAAATGAGCGTGCAGGGGCTGAATCAACTGTATTAACATGGCTAAAGTCAATCACATCTTAACGTTCTTCCATTTTTCATTCATAATATCATAAACACAGGCCTATCATTCTTTCAGGTTTCTCTGAATTGTGTGAAATGGCCGAATAAAAAAAGGAAAAACAAAACGATTTTGTGGTCACCCCCCCCCCCCCCCCCCCCCCCCCCATCAAGGTCAAATAGTTTAGTCCTGACTAAAGGAAACTTACTGAGTCAGGAGCCAAACAGAAGAGAATAACATAAAAAGGCTAAAACCACCAGGGGCCCCATTCAGGGGAAAAAAAAGAAAAAAGAGGAGAAAGATAAAGGTATGTAGCTCTCATGATGCATGTTTTCAATTTTTTGAACCAGTTAACTGGGATTTTAACGGTTAAATGCGGTCAACTAATTGCTAACAGAGCTAATAGGGCTGAAATATTGAAACGAATATTCAAATGGTTCGAAAAAAGTCCTTGAATCGTTTTTTACTGATTCAAACTAGGATTTGTTAAATTCTCGCTGCAGCCTGTGGCCTGCCTGAACAACAACAACACGTGTTGATCATGTTCACATAATAATAAATAAAACAACTCTACAAGCAGAAGAAAACTCCCCAGTCACCACTAACTATCCTGTTTATTTATTGCAGATGGCTGCACTGATTATTTTTTACATGATTTGTTCTGTAAAAGTTGGCATTTTTGGTAGTCTACAGTTTTTTATGCCAGTTTAAATTACAATTTCAGAGGCAATTCTAAAATATTATGGATCATGAGATCTATTGGAGATCTACCCCAACTTTTGGACTGCTCTGCCGGTCACTGTGGCTCAAGCTGAGAGGAGCTTTTCAAAACTTGATCAAGTCATACCTGAGGTCACCTATGTTTCAGGGACGGCTCACTAACCTGGCTCTGATTAGTATCAATCACTCATTAGGGGAGCAGATTTCATATGATGACATTATTGATGACTTTGCATCAAGGTTAGGTTTTAATTTTAGTTTGTGTTTTCTATTCTAAGTGCAATGCTGTAGTGATTATCTTTAGTTTGTTATGTGTGAAATATTTTTGCTATTTAGAATATTTATTATCTATTATGTTCATATATTCTTAATATTTAGTTATTGTTTGTTTTTGTATATTTGATTCTATGTATTTTGATACAGTATATAATGTATAGTGCTTTTCATTCTGACAACTTCATAGTAATTAATGTAAATATGTGCAACTTAGGAAAAATGAATGTTCAACAGTCGTTCTAATAAACATGCCTGTTTGTAGAAAACATGCGTGTGTTAATGCAGGTGGGGTGGTGTGGTGGTGGTGGGGGGGGGCGATCAAAGGGGGCCTCGCCCGGGGAGTAATTCGATGTAGAACCGCCACTGACTTAGAGCAATATAAATAATAGGAGTCTGCTATGGAATCTACTGGAAAAGTGACAAGTGAATAATGAACAATAGGTATGGAAAATAGTTCTGGCCTTGTGGCTCATACAACAATGGAAAAACAACAACAAAAACAAACAAAAATACATAAATGACAAGTTTGGACACAGATTATAGGTTTCCATTCAGAGATATTGAAGAGGAAGACTTTGATTATGAAAAGGACTGTCAAGGAGGTTATTTAACCACACACGCTGAGAAAACGAACTTCAAAACATTTAACTATGCAGAGCACAACATGCATGACCCTGAAAGTAACATTGACCCAGATGACCACTTCTACAATAACAACAATAATACTTGTGAGTACTATACAGACGACCAATTCAATATGAGTATTAAAATGGTAAATGCATTATCGGTCAAACATTTCAATAGTAGATGCTTGTATAATTTTTTTTCTAAAATTACAGATTGTTTAATTAAGAAAAAGTTTACTATAATTGCAATATCAGAAACATGGCTTGATAATGAGAAAGTTAGTGAAGTGGGACTGGAAGGATTTGAATTATTTACAATGAACAGGGTGAATAAAAAAGGAGGTGGTGTTGCTTTATATGTTGATAAAGTTTTGAAATGCAGTCTGATTGAATGTATGTCAAGCACCATAGATGATGTATTGGAATGTGTTACTGTTGAAATCCATGCTGAAAAGGCTAGCAATATAACAATAATTTGCATTTATAGGACACCGTGATCATGTCTTGAGACATTCTATGAAAAACTTGCTGCTATGTTTAGCAACCTAAATGATAAAAAAGTGCAAATAATTTGTGGTGATTTTAATATAGATTTGCTAAACCCAAATGGGCATCAGAAAACAACAGACTTCATTACTACAATGTATAGTAATTCCCTTTTCCCTGTAATTATAAAACCAAGTAAAATAACAATTGATACAGCCACATTGATAGATAATATATTCACGAATAAAATTGACTATGAAATAGTAGGTGGACTTCTTATAACTGATATAAGCAAT